TCCCATTATCCCTTGGTGCAGAGCACTGGCATGGCTCCCGGTCCTCGGGGAGGTGGAATGATGCCCCCCTCCCACCAGGCACCCACCCCGCCGTTACCTGGTGCATGATGCCATCGATTTCCACAGGAATGATGAAGTCGGCGTTGTTCACTGGCTGGGGAAGGGCACACCAGGATGAGCACTGGGCACGCCAGGCACCCCCTGCCCAAATGCTGCCTGCTCTATGCTCACTGTGCACCCCTGCCAGCCCCGCAGCCCCCTCACAGGGACACCCCAACTGACCCAGCCAGTCTGTGCCGGGTGCTGGGCATCGCTTTGTGGGAAAAGGGTGGCAGAGCAGGTGGGGGAGCATGTGGGGGAGAGGTGTGGGGTGGGCCAGGGTGTCCCCCACCTTGAAGGAGCTGTGCACCAGGGTCTCATCCAGGTCGATGACCACGCAGAGCTTGCTGGCGTCCTGTGGCTTGATCTCGGGCAGCAGGTGCTTGACAGCAGCCTGCAGCAGGGGGACACGGGTCAGCAGGGTATCCACAGGGAGGCCAGAGGGGGCACTGGCAGAAGTGACTGTTCACCCCCAGGCCTGGCCACACAGGGGAGGCGCAGGGGATGGTAACTAACCCATCGATCCAGGCTGGGGTGTGGGGTTACCTTGGGCAGTGCCCCGTTCTCCTCCACCAGCAGCGGCGCGCCAGTGGTGCCAGTGCAGGGCTCCCCTTCATCGCGGCACAGGCAGCAGAAGAGGGACTGGAGAATGCTGCGGCTTCGAGGCTTCTTGGCAGGGGTCTGGGTACCTGTGGGAGGGCAGAAGGGGGTGAGGGGTAACCCGGGGGTGCTCCCGGCACAGAACTGGGGGCCAGGTGAGCCACGTTTGGGTGTTCCCCAGAGCCCCCGTGCCCTCATCAGAGCCGGACACCCATCCGGTCGGCCTTCCTGCCCTGCCAAGCCACGGTGCCAGGGCAGCGTCGCTGACACGAGCGCTTGGCGACCACCCGCAGCCCCTCACCCGGCACGTCCCACTCCACGAGGGACCCCCGTGGGCCCCCCGCGTGCCCGGAGACCCCAGCCCGGGGGCAGCCGTGGGCCCGGGGCCGGTCCCCGCTGTCCCGCCCCGGGGGGCGCTGCCCCACTCGGGGGCGGGGTCTCCCGAGGGAGGCGGGGCTTACGCCGCTCTTTTCCCCGCCTCCAGACAACTCCCTCGTCTCATTGGCCGACTGGAGAGCACCGGAGGCGAGAAGCCAATCAGAACGAAGCGCCCGCCCCTGGGCGCCGTTCCCGCAATCCCCATTGGCGGAGCGAAGGGAAACTGAGGCAGAGGTTGACCCTGCCCACCCCATGCCCCAGGGGCAGCGCGACGGTTCCAGCGGCCCCACCGGTCCCGGGGACGGGTCCTGCCGCAGCGCGGGCCGGGGCTGCACCCCGCCCTGCCTGTGCCCCCCTTCCGGCGGGCCAGGGCCCTGTAGTGAGGAGCCCGTGGGGCAGGAGCTCCCCACTGCGGACGGGGCCCGTTCCCACGTTTGCTCCTCCCGGCCCTGGCAGCTTCCCAGGCCAGGGAGACGAGCATCGGCCCCCGACAAACCCCCTTCGCGGGGAGCGGGACGCCGGCACGCAGCAGGGCGCCCGGCTCCCTTCCTGCCTCAGTTTCCCCGCCGGCGCTGCGCGCACCTCTCGCCCGGCTCCAGAGGAAACAGCGCAAACAATCCGAGCGCCGCCCCGAGCCTTCCGGGGCTCCGAGGGCCCGCTCGCTCCGAGCTGCAGCCCCAGCGCATCTCCGCAGCCCTCGGCAGCGGGATGCAGGGGGCCGGGCTGAGGCGGCGCGCAGCTCATCACACCCTCCGGGAGCAGGCCCCCAGCCCCCCGGGGACCTCCCCCTCTGCCGCACAGGAAGGGGGCGAGGGGGAGCGGGATCCCCCTCCGCGTTACCTTTCTCCTGAAGCGGGGCGCTCCCCTCCTCCCTGCTAACCTGGGCGATGATGGACTGGTGCTCCATGGGCGCCGGGGAGGGGGTGGGAGGGGGCGGCCCCCCCCGGCGCGGCCCCCGGGGGGGGAGGCGGGGCGGGGGCCGGCGGCGGCGCGGGGCGGCGGGCGCGGAGCGGCGCCGCGGAGGAAACTTTGTTACAACATGGAGTTTCCTCCGCCCGGGCTGGGGCTGCAAACATGGATCCCGGGCGCGGTTTCAAGGAACCCCTTAAAAGGGCAACACCGGCGGGGGGGGCCCTCCTCCTTCTGCCTCCTCCTCCTCCTCCTCCCGGCACCGGCGCCGCCCGGGAGGAGTGGGGGATCCCGCCGAGCCGCCATTGGGACCGAGATGGGAGCGTTCTGTGGTTTGGCTGGGAAGGACACCCCCCTTCCTTGCTTCATGGTGACTGTGCAGGGGTCCCCGACACGCCGCCGGGCTGTCCCACGCTCCCCCGCCCCGAGTGAGAGAGCACGGAGAGAGGGATCGGTCCTGCTGTCACCCCACATCCAGCCGGCAGCCCGGGGATCCCTCTGCAGCTGCCCCCGGCGTATGTACACGTGCCGCCGTGCTGGGTGTCCCCTGGAGCAGGATCCTGGACTAGCGGCTCAAGGCTGGGGGGTCCCCATTGCCCCCCGAGGCCACATCCCGCACTGCCGGGCCAGGCCAGCCGTGCGGGCCAACAGGTGCTGGGGGGCTGCACCAATACCCGCCGCTTTTTTCTATCCTTTATCCTGCAATCCCCCAGTTTTTTGGGCAATTAGTCAGTCTATATTATCAATACATCCATTTTCCCTGACAATTCCTTCCCTCCTGCCTTCGGCGGGGAAGCGGGGCTGTTCCAGGCGCTTTCTGAAAAGCGACTTTTGACGGGAGCTTGTGGATGGCACAAGTCCCTCGGAGAAAATCCGCCTCCCAAGCCCCTCAAGAGCTGCTTTCTCCCGCCCCCTCCCCTCGCCAGCTGCGGGGCTGTGCCGGGGCAGCCTCTCGCCGCCGAGCCCCCCAACCCCGCCCAGGCAGCGCCCGGCCCCGGAGGGCCTGGCCCGGTACCGCCGCGGCGGCAGGAGATGCTGTGCGCTCCGTCAGCGCTGCCCCGAGGGTGCAGCAGGTTGGAAATTTCCCATCTGAGCTCATTTGAAATCTTTCCACCTCTCCCACCTGCGGTTTGGGAACTTCGGGAGGTGAGATCGCCTTTTCTGGCCCAGTAGGGACGTGACACCGCGCTGGGGACTGGGAGGTGCCCCCACGGGGCACTGCGATGCTGCGGGGCTGCCGGAGCTCTGGCACTACAAAAGCCGATTTCCCCCTGCAGTTCCCGCACTCTCGGCTCCACGCGGAACATCCCGGCACCGCGTGTCCCCGCGGAGCCCTGGCAGGGACCAGCTGCTGTTTGGAGCAGGGACACTGCATCCTGCCACCCCCTCCGCCGGTTCCGACAGCAGGCAGCGGTCGTGCCTCAGTTTCCCTGCCCCTCCTCAGTACGGCAGCCGCCTCCCACATCGGGCAGCCACCACTGTCTCCTGGCGAAGCTGGAGGAAAAGGAAGAAAGAGGCTGTGCTTCCTCTGCTCTCTATTTTGAGCTGACGTCTGTGCTCCTTTAGCCCAGGTGGAACTGGATAGGATGTCTGCCTCATCCCCAGCATCTGCCTGGGCTGGGCTGCTGGGGGATCCTGCTTTCTGTGGGGACAGCTGCAGAGGCCACACACTTGTCCCCTGCAGGACCCCTGTCTCTTCGGCTACATCATCCTCCTCTTCCTCCTCCTCCTTTTCCCTCCCTGATGAGTTCAGACAGGCCCTGTTAGTCCTCCAATTAATGCAATTAGAAAAATCTCCGGGCCAATGCTTGCAGCGGTAATTGGAACACCACTTCAAGTTCCACTGCCTGCTTGGGGGCAGATTGAGCTGGGGAGCTCAGAGAGACGATGTCCCTGTCCTGCGGTTGTGGGACAGGCCCAGGCCAGGAGTAGGCAGAGCCCAGCTGGGTTGTTTGGGCTGCAGGGTATGGGCACGAGGCAGAAAAGCATCAGGCTTCACTCAGTTGGACACTCGAGTTCCACCCCACTGCTCCTATACTGGGGTCCTGGATGATTCCCCGTTCTCCAACCCAGCCCTGGCCCTGGGAGCTCTTGGAGTGGGACACTTCCTCCTAAGGCTTGGCTGGAGCCAGGTGTCCCTGGGCTGAGAGTGCTCTGGGTTGCAGGTGGAGAACACCAAATCCTAGAGGCATAACCCTGCAGACCCCAGTCCCTCCAGCCTTCCGCCCGCTGAGGACCACCCCGATGCGCCCCTACCCCTTGGTGACCTCCCCCCAAGGCTGGTACCCCCGGGCAGGTGCACCCCGAGCTAGGGGCGTCTCCTGCCGCTCCTCCAGCGGCCGGGGCCGGCTGCGCCCCCGGAGGAGGGGGAGCCCCCGCCTTTCGGTGGGCCCCACAGCTCTGGCCCCTCCTTCAGCAGCCAGAGGCCGGGCCAACGCGGAGGCGGGGGGGAGGCACCGCCCCACCCCGTCCGCCATCGCCCTTTTAAGGAAGGGGACATTCTTCACATAAACAAGCGCGGCCCCCGGGAGCGGGGGGGGGGTGTCCCTTCCCGGAGTGGGGGGCACGGGCTGGGGGGGGCGGGGGGGGATGCCCGGCCCCCAAAATTCCAGCTCCACCGGCCGGCGGCGGGGGTCGGGAAGGGGATTTTGGGGTGGGGTGGTGGTGGGTCCTGGGGAGAGGGGGGAGCCTTGAAACAGCCAGGGAGCGTCTCGCAAGTGCGGCCCGCGGCGCGCCGGGACCCCCCCGCCCCGGAGCGGGCCCGAGCGGCTCCGCGCCCGCATCCGGCGGCACCGGCAGGCGGGAAACGGGGCATCCGGGGCGGAGAGGGCACCCAGGGCCCCACCGCCCAGTCCCCCCGCCCGGGGCAATGCAGAAAGCTGGCGCTGAGCCCCCCGCGCCGACGCGGCCGAGCGTTGGCAGCCCCGGCCACTCCCCCGCCCGGGGCAAAGGGGCCGCCCCCGGTCCGGGTGGGCCCAGGGGGTCGCCGCCCCACGCAGCAACAGCAGCGAGGCCGGGTTACGAACACGCCGTTTATCTGCCGTCTCCCTCCCAACACGTTTCGGAGCCGCCCGTGGGGATGGGGCCGGTCCCGGGGCTGGCCCCGCTGGCGGCGGGCGCTGCGGGTGGTTAGCGGTCCCCGGCGGTAATTAGCGGTCCCCGGCGGTAATTAGCGGTCCCGGGAGCCGGCGGATCCTGGCCATAATGAGCAGGGGAAGTCTCCGGCGCGGCTCATTCACCGGAGCGTCCGTGCCAATGGATGGGGGAATCGCCCGCTGCCATCCCACTCCCCTCGCGTCAAGCCTGGACCAGCACCCCGGAATTGGCGGGGGTTGGGGGTGGGAAGAAGCGCTGAGCTCGAAGATCTTGGGGGGAGGTCTGCCTGTGTGATAACCCTTTCCTTGCTGGGTGCATCTCTGGCTAAAACATGCCCGGACTCGGAGTGGCAGGAAATCCGTGTCCAGGAGGCTGCGCTGGGCCGGGCCGTGGGGATAACAAGCAGGGATGGGATCTGTCACCGTGTCTCTGTAGGGTCGAGGGCGAGACCGAAATTGAAGCGGCTGTGGTGGCCCCGGGCCAGGAACCGGGCTCCGTGTGCGATAGTGCATGTCCAGATCTGCAGCGGCAAAGAGGACAAGTCGATGAGCGCCCACCAGGGACACTGTCCCGCCCCTATCCCGCGGTGCCAGCCCTACCAGGTAGGCGACGAAAGCCACGTAGGCAGCCAGGAGCAGGCTCAGGGGAATGTAGTATTCCAGGCCGTGCAGTGTTGGCAAAAAGTCCACCACGAAGTAAACATTGATGGCGCAGACCAGCCCCGTTATGAGGGTCATCAGCACCTTCCCCGGGCTGTGAGCAGGGCAGAGGGCATCAGTGCCAGGGCAGGGCCCCATCCTTTGGGCCGCTGGACACAGAGGGCTGGGGGGACTGAGTTTGCAGGTGAACCAGATCCAAACTGGGACATTTCTGCACCCCACAGTTATATTTCACCCCGTGGTGGGACTCTAGGAGTGGATTTTGGCCACCTTCCAAATCCAGTGCTGGCAGTGCCAGGAGGATGCTGAGGATCCAGGGGTGCCCAAGGAACCAGATGGGTCACTGGGAGGATGACAAGGTAGTGATGGGGTCTGTTCCACTCTGGCTGCCCTGGGCAGGTGAGAACGAACATACCCCTCCAATGTCCGTACACTAATTGCCCCATGGCAGGGTTTGGGGGGCAGGATGGGCCAAAGGGAAGGTGCCTGCAGCCAGAGCTCCCTACTCTGCCTCCTGTGTGGCTCCCCATGCCCCAGCACTCACAGGCTGTTGCTGAAGTCCTGCATGAGCGGGTGCAGGCTGGTGAAGGTGAGGACAGGCAGGACGGCAAAAGGCAGCTGAAAGGAGAGCGGGATGAGGACATCATGGCTGCCAGGCTGGGGTGTTTGGGGGCCCTCCCACCCCCTTACCAGGATGCTCTGCAGGACGTTGAGCAGGTCATTCATGCCTGTGAGGTGGCTGACATCCTTGAAAGCAGCCACGAAGACAGTGGGCAGGATGGCAAAGGAGCGGGTGAAGAGCACCCGGGCGAAGCGGGACCAGCGGAGCTGCAGGAAGCCCTGGAACACGGCAGAGCCTGCACCCTCGCTGTGCCTGCACCCTCGCTGTGCCTGCACCCTCGCTGTGCCTGCGGCCCCCAAAACCCTGGCTGGGAGGAGCGTGGGGGGCATCTCCCTCTCCTTTGTGCCAGGGCACTGAGCGAGCTCTTGCAGGGCTGCCGGGCCCCACTAGGTGTCAGCTCCGACTCGTTAAGAGAGGATCTTATTAATTAGGGAAACATTGCGTGGGGCGCCCACAGGGTGCAGTGGGTGGACGCTGTCTCCATCCCACCTCGTGCTAGCAAGCTGCCACCCACCAGCTCCCTGCAGGAATGGTGGGCAATTAACTCTTCCAGATACTCCTGGGGGGAGTGTGTTGCCCATAGAACTCCTCCACCCAGGGCCCACCTGTGATTTCCCTGCCCTCAGCCCCTCCCTGTGGGGGCAAGGGCCAGCATCCCTATCTCTCACCTCCATGACGAACTGCCCTGCGTAAGTCCCGGTCATTGTGGAGCTCTGTCCTGCTGCCAGGATCCCGATGCCCCAGATGTACAGTGCTGCTGCCCCGAAATAGCAGCCCAGGATGACACCCTGTGTAGGGACACTCCAGTGAGCACCCTAAAGTGTCCCCTACCCCAGGCATGCCCATCAGCTCCCAGCCTTCTGGTGGGGTTATAGCTGCCCCCAGGCCCAGGGCTCGATGGGGAGAGTGCTAAGTCTCCCACGTGGGAAGGGATGCTCACTGGACACAGCCTGGTGGCACTCACCCCCTGGTAGATATCCACAGAGACTGTCTCGTTGTTGGTGGGGAAGATGCCGGCGAAGTGACTGATGCTGCTGTTGATGCACTTGTTGTGCTGTAAGGCAGAGTGTGACAGCCACCCAGCAGCTCCCACAGACACAGGGGATCCCCACACGTCACCTCTCAGGGAATGAGAATATGCCGGGGGATGCTCGTCCCACCCATGTCCACAGCTGGGCACAGCTGTCATCTCCCGTGGCCATGACGTGACACTCACCACGTCCTCATTTCGCTGGTGGTAGAAAGCCTGGCCAAAGACAGCCATGACAAAGAGGTTGATGAGGAAAGAGACAAAGAGGGCCAGGCAGGACTCGGTCAGGAAATACATATTGGCCTCCTGCACTGCTTCCTTCTTGGCGCGGTCGATCAGCCGTGTCTGGGCATGGCCAGCGACATGGGTGTGAGCCCCTGTCCCACAGCCAGGACCATGTGGTCCCCACCAAGCGTACCCTGAGGCACCCAGAACAGTGCCCGTGGCAGTGCCTTGATCTCACCTTGACCAAGGAGGAGTGGAGGAAGATGTTATGGGGCATAATGATGGCGCCGATGATGCCCATGGCCTGCAGCAGCTCGTTTCGCCCACAGCCCGGGCAGCTGGGCAGGAAAATGCCCTTCAGCACCTCCACCTGCCTTGGCCTCACCACCACATACTGAGAAACAGGGAGAAGGGGCACTGTGAGCTGCCACCCCGCTACTACAGGCTGGTAGCAGTGGGGACACCATATGGTAGGGTCCCTTGCCACCCTTGAGGAAAAGGGTTGTCCCCAGCTCCCCCCTTCACCTCATAGCCAAAGGTCAGGGCCATGATGGTGATGAGGAGGCCGAAGAAAGCCTCCAGTTTGCGGAGCCCTAGAGAGGTCAAGAGAAGGGGTGGAACAGAGCAGGGGACACTGGTGCCACATGGGCACCAGGGCTGCCTGGGTGACAGTACCCCAGCCCTCATCCTGGCACTCACCGTACTTATCGAGGAAGAGGAAGAAGAAGGTGTCCACGATGGTGATAAGGACCCCACCCCAGAGGGGGATGCTGCAGGATGGCCAGGGCAGGATTAGATACATGGCTCTCTGTGGAGTAGGGCCATGGGGGAAGCTGGAGGTCCCTGAGGGGAGGCTCACCGGCCAGCTGAGAGCAGGCTGAAAGCAATGGCTGTCCCGATCACCTCCTGCATGTCAGAGCCGATGATGGCGATCTCAATCATGAGCCAGAGCAGCACACGGGGCACCTGGAGGGCACAGGGCACATGAGGTGCCTGGGCCCACAGCAGTGTGTAGCTCTGGGCAAGCTAGCACAGCATCCTGGGTGCAAATCCCTGTCTCCAGGCTGGAGCAGGAGAGCAGCCTGGGGACCCCAGAAGACCCCTCTCAGCTTCTTTCACAACACAAACTCAGGATGAAAGATGGATGCTAAATCTGAACCCGCTGCCCCACTCCTCATCCCCGCCCCAGTGAGAGCTGAGGATAGGACCCATCTGTCTAGATAGATGGGTTTGAGGGAGGTGGGGCAGAGGGATGTGTCCAACCCTCCTTTTGGGGACCTGTAATTCAGCCAGTGTCTCCTTGCTCGTTCCCCCCATCAGGATCTTGACACTTCGATGGGACCCTTAACTCCCCCCTCCTCTGTCATGTGAGCCCTCCTCTTGAGCCCCCCCACCCCGTTTCTGCCCCAACACGCACAGGCTTTCTCTCGTCTCGGCTTCGCGTTGCTGCCCCGACCCTGGGCTCACCCCCGCGGGGACGCTCTCATGTGTCGCCAGGTCAGACCGGGACACTGACGCAGTGCTTACCACCTCCCACCCTGGTCCCTGTACTAGAGGGGCGTGGGCACTAGGTGGGGAGGGCTTGGGGAGGCTTTGAGGAGCCCCTGAGAGAGGCAGGGCTCTCACAGCATCTTCCTGCTCCCCTCCAGCCCTGCAAGTCCCTGCTAGGACTGCCACCAGCCCAAGCACAGGGTCCCCCCCCAGACTGTCACCCCCATCCCCATGGTTGCTCACCTTGGGGTAATAGAGGTAGCAAATCTCGCCCAGGTCTTTCCCGGTCACCACGCCTAGACGGATGGCGAGGCGCTGGCACAGCAGCCCCAGGACGGTGGCCCACAGCAGCACCCACAGCAGCTGGGGAGCAGGAGGGAGGGAGGCAGCCGGGACTGGGTACTGGGCAAAATCCAGCCGCCCGGGGGTCCCCAGTTCAACCAGGGCTGCAGGGAAGAGAGGGGGCGCGGGTGCTCTCCCAGCCCAGTCAGAGGGGTGCCCCCGTGGCACCCCTGGGTGTCCTCACCCTGTGCCGAGGCCCCCCGTGCCCTTCCTGCCCCCGGGCTGGGGAAGCCGGCTGGGGAAGCCGTGGGCAGCCGTTGGCGCTGCAGAGGTGACGAAACCCCCGCCTGCCCCGGAGCCCGCTCACCTTGAACCCCGCCAGCGCCCCGCTCTGCAGGTCCGACTCCACGTTGCCTGGGTCCAAGTAGGCGATGCTCATGAGGAAGCCGGGACCGGTGAAAGCCCAGAGTTTCCTAAAGCTGAACCCAGGCTGGGACAAGGCAGCAGGTCAGAGCCAGGAGCTCCCGTTCAAAAGCAGCGTCTCTTAATTGCACATCCAGCCCCCTTTAACCCAGTGCTGCCCGCATGGGTGTGTTCAGCACATGGAGGTCATTTCCCGGGCAGTTTTGGAGAGGGAACTGCTGCCCCCAGCCTCTCCCTGTTTAGCAGCAGTGCTGGAGGGGCAGTGAGCCCCGTCTGACCCAATGGACAGTGATGTGCAGGGGGGTCCCAGGGCTGTCAGGCACTATTGCATTCCGTGGGACTGCTGTCCTCTGCTTTTGCTACTCCTCCTGACTAGGGAATACCATTCCTTCTCCTATGTTCCACTGCCCTGGGACCAGACAACGATGGGGGGGGCCTTTGGGGTGCAAGCAGCCTTGGGGTGCCCTACTGGGCTCATCCATGGGTGGCCCAGGAGGTGGTGTGTGAGCAGTGGGGTGATCCTTGTGGCTGGGTAGCACCTTGCCCCATTGTCTCAGTTTCTTCATTTGGAAAACTTTTAAGTATGGAAACACTCAACCTAGGGCTGTGACTTGCTTGAGCTGGGTCTGGGGTGCTGGGGGCATGTCCCCAGGGCATGTCCAAGACACATATTCCCCGCTGCAGTGGCCCTTTGCCTCCCCACCTCCAGCTCCCTGCAGCACTGTCCCGCTGCCCTGCCCTCCCTGAGCCAGCCTTGCAGCACCTACCCCGCTGCCCTTGGGGATGCTGATGAGCTCATCCAGGTAGGTCTGGTCCCGAGTGCCAGGGCGCTGTGGGGGCATGGGGCCCCCGTTCAGGGACTTGGTGAGGCCTGAGGGGGACAAGGAAGAGGAGGGCAGGTGGCAGCCTGCCAGGGGGACAAGGACACTGGTGGGCTGGCAGCCCTGGTACCAGCTTCCTTCAGTCCCACCTGACCCTGCCTGATGAACCCATAAGGGGAAAGCACCAGTTTTCCAGGGGGAGCATGAGGATAGCTATATGGGATGTATCAAAGGCTACCCAAAGGGACCAGATGCCACCTCCAGCTCAGGTGTCCTAAAATCCCTGTCTGAGCCCTATCTTCACCAGTCCGAGACCCAAGTGCATTTCTCCAGCAAGGACTGGAGGGGACCCTACTCCAGCTTCTGCTGCTGGATGGGCATAGAGTGAGGACAAGAAGCTGGTACTGGTCCTAATACCCCCTTTGCAGCCCCTACATCCTGGGAATTGGTTGAATTACATTCCCAGGCTTGAAGGAACAGAGAATGGGACAGGTGGGGAATCCAGGACAGGCGGGGGGGAATGGTGCCCACTGAAAGATGGAGCACAGCCAGGGGTCTCAGGTTGGAGGGAAGGGGGTCTAGGGGATGAAAGAAGTCACAAGGGGACCCAAGAAGTGTTGTGAGGCTCACCTGGCTCCAGTGATGCCATGTGTGGACCCGATCCAGCCACAGTGCTGAGGCGTCCTGAATTCAGCTCAGAGTGCAGCGCCTGCTGCCCAGCTTTTAAAGGATCCCCCCCGCAGTTGTGTCATCCCTCCCCCTCCTCGGGAGGAGAGGAGGAGGATAGGAGAAGGAAGTGCTCCTTCCCTACCCTTATGAGCACACACAGTCTCGGTTCCCCCCCCACCCCCCCAGTGCCAGGAGGCCCCTTCCCTCCCCTTTGCCTCACACACGTGAGTGTGTGAGAACACGAGGCACTCTCACTGGGGCGTGGGAGCATGTCTGCCTCTCACTGGCCATCACATGCCAAATGTTCTGCTTGGGTGACTGGAGGGACAGGGGACAGTGTCCCACAGAGCGAGAAGGGAGGGCTGTCCCCACGGGAGTAGGGGAAATGCCATAGAAGTGGGAGTGAGGAGGAAGCAGGCACGTGTTGCATAAGGAGATAAAAATGCAGCCTTAGCTGCTGGGGGAAGCACACAGGCAGGCAGGCTCTGTGGCACAGGGTGCTCACATCACCCTCGGGTGCAGCGAGCTTCACGCCTAAGATGGAGTGCCAGTGTTGCAGTGACAAGCTGTGCCAACAAAAGTGGGTACCCTTCTGCCAGCCAGGCCTTGTCTCACAGGGAGATGGGCAAGGGGTGTCTCCCAGGAACATGTTGGGGGGTGGCAGGTGCAGGGATGTGAGCCTGGCCCTGCTCCACAGTATGCCCCAGGCATCCCCCACCCCCTAAGCAAGGCCTAGAACAGCTGGGAGAAGGACAGGATCCCAACCAGAAGACATGGTGGGGCTTCAGCACACAGCTCAGTTCCACCTGCCCTCCCTGAGCCTCAGTTTCCCCAAAGCAAACAGGACTGGACAGGTGGAGCCGGCTGCTTTATTTGCTGTTAGATGGAGGGTGGCCAGCTGGGGAGTTGGGGAGGGGGCTGGCAGCTCCAGTGGAGCCAAAGGGGCTCCCAATGGGCCGCTGGTAGGCGAAGAATTCCGCAGCAAAGGAGATGGTGTCATGTGGCTGCTGGAGGAGCAATGCCTGGAGGAAGTCAGACAGCAGTGCCCGGACCTCGGGGTGCTGCTGGAGGTAGGCAGCATGGGATAGTTGCAGCTCATCCTGCAGTGGGGGACAGGATGGGCATGAACACACATTTCCCCCTGGGCACTGAGCCAGGGTGAGGGGGACAGGAGTCAGAGTGAGTGGGACAGGAGCCTGGGTCCTCTCCCACACTTAAGAAGGCGTGAGGAAGGCTGTTGGTCAGCCTGCCCCCTCAGTGTGCTTCCTGGGCACACCAGGGGAGACCCTGCTGGAGATTGGCACAGCCCCATGTCCCCTTGTCCCCATGTCCACCCATCTTACCTTCCTGTCCAGGAAATAGCAGTAGAGCTCCATGTCCTCCTTCCAGTCCAGCGGTTCTTTGGGGAAGGGGAGCTGAGGCTCAAACTTGCCTGGCAGCAGAAAGGCAGGGCAGAGTGTTCCCCCTTGACTTCTAGACAGCGGGGAGGGGCTGCCTGTGCTGGGGGGACACAAGCCTTCCCTGCTCAGTACCTGACTTGCTGAGGATGGATTCATCCTGTAGAAGCATCAGCACTGGAGAGCCGATCTGCATCAGCTGAGCCAAACGCCTGAGAGGGGAAGAAGAGCCCTTGACCCCCCCATCCTGGGTCCCAGCAGACTGGCAGGGCTGGGGTGCTCTGACCAGAGCCCTGCCCTTACCCGCTGGGGAGGAAGCTGCTGTGCCACACAGTGCGGGCGCCTGCGCCGGCGTGCACGGCTCGCTCGATCACGAACACCTCAGCCTCTGCCGAGCCCACTGCCTGCTGCTGGATGCCCAGGGCAGACTGGGGGCGGTACGGCCAGGGGTCAGCCTTGTCTCAGAGTCACCTCTGCCCCCAGCTGCCATCCCCATGTGTCCCCCCATACTGTCAACCACATTCTGCCCGCTCCCGCTTCCCTTATCCCAGCCTGGTGTCCCCAACCTGGCCCAGACCACGCCCGTGCTGGCTGGCGGCTCACATAGCTGGCGGTGCAGAGGTCGCCCTCGCTGTTGATGGCTGGGAAGACAAGGTCGAGGGGCATTGTCTGCCGGCGTGCCAGCACCCGCAGCAGCAGGAGGCTGGCACCCTCCAGCAGCCGCGCCCGCAGCGTGGCCCGGCTGTATGAGAAGCTCTGGCACCGTGGCTCTGCCTGCAGAGAGACCTGGCTACCTCCAGCGTCCCAGGGACAGCAACCCCCGGAGCCTGGGCTCCCCTGGTGAGACAGGCCAGCTGTGCTGCCCCCTCCCAGGATGTGACCCTTCCCTCAACCTCACCCCTCCCTCCTGCAGCGTCTTTGTGACCGTCATCCCGTGCTCGTGGCTCACGATGTGGGTCGTCTTCTCTATGGGATATGGTCTGAGCTGCGGGAGGGATGGGAGGCACAGGGTGGAGGGTAGAGCCAGGGCACCCCTCTGAGTGGCAACCCCAGCACTGCTGTCAGTCGGGGTGCCATACCAGATGCATTGTGGGAAACTCCCCATCCCAGCTGCCACCCAGAGGGGATGGGGACTAGGCTGCTGGGGCACAGCTGGAGTCTAAGCATGACAAGGGACATCAGACTACCCACAGCAGCCTTGCAGGGGGCACAGCCCCCAGGAGGGCACCACTGCAGGGCACACCCCAGGGCAGCGGGTAGGACACAGGGACGGGGACGTGCCACCACCATATCAATCACCTCCAGGCACTCCTGCTCCTCCTGCTCCAGGGTCTCCAGCTGCCAGGTCACGTAGGCTGCCAGAGCAAAGCCATGGTCAACCAATCCTGTTGGCACTGTCCCCGTTCCCAGCCCTGGGGGCTGGTGGACAGGGATGTTCCAGCCCTGGGGAGGAAGGAACCCCCTAAAAGCCACCCCTGGCTCACCTTTGAGGGTGCTGGAGGCAGGAACACCATCCTGCTTGCCTCGGAACCTGGTTTGCACCAGGATGCAGCTCTGCACCGGCTCACCTTCCCGCTGGTAGGGTGCCCACTGGGCTGCCATCCACCACTGGCCCTCTGCCTTGTCCCTCGGTGGAGTCACCACTGCCAGCGTCTCAGCAAACAGGCACCACTCCAGCTCCTTCAGCCCTGCACAGAGGTGATGGTGACCCCAACACAGAGGGACCGCGAGGAGATGGTCACTCTGGTCACTCCCCCCGAAGTGACTGTCGCCCCTGCCCAGTGCCCCTCCCTTTCTCCGTTCCCCCCGGAGGCTGGGCCGAGTCCCTCGCTATTTATCCCGCTTAACCCCTCACTCTCCGGCCCGCTGCCCCCCGCCTTGCCCCGGGCCCGGTGTGGCGGGACAAGGGGCAGGCTGGAGGAGGCACGCACCGATGAGGCTCAGGAACTCGGCAGCAGTGTCCGCCGTGCTCGGGGTGTCCTGCGGGCTCTCGGGACGGGGCTCCATGCCTCCCGCTGCCGGACCCTCGGGTGAGGGGGCGGCGGGGCTCCCCCGAGCCGCGGCGCCCGCCCCACGCGTGACCCTGGGGCGGCAGTGGCGCCCACCCCGCCTCCGCAGCCCCCAGCCCCGCCACTCCCCGGCTCCCGGTACTCCGGGCCCCGCCCTGCCGGACCGACCCCGGCGCCCCCCGACGCCTCCCGTCTCCCCGGCAACGCCCCGGCTCCTCCTCTTAAAGCGGCCGCGCCCCGCCGCCGGCTTTAGCGCCGGGGCGTCCCCGCCGACGGGGAGAGAAAGGGACGAACAGGTGTAAAATCGATCCAGTCTTTTATTTGGGGCGTGGGGGTGATTGTGGCTCCGATCCCCAGCGAAGCAGCATCCCCCACACCCCAGCAGTGCGACTCTATGGTCCTGTCCCAGCGTGTGTGTGCGTGTGTGTACGTACAGGGGGGCTCCGGCGTCAAGGATGGGGTGCTGGAGAGGAGCCCCTTGCCTGGAGGTAGTACTGCCGGCCCGCCTCCCCTTGCTGGCTCCATCCCAGCCCCCACAAAGGAGATGCACAACACTGGGGGCTTAAGGGGAGGGGGCTGAGTGGTGATGGTGGTGGTGGAGGGGAAATTGGAGACTCACAGAAAAACGGGGGAGTGGGGTGGGAGGATTGTAGGAGAAACCCTTGGTGCCATTCCTATAGCCCCAGCAGTGAGGCGGGGGGCTACAAAATCCCCGAGAGAGGACTGAGGTGCTTCTATGTGACAGCTGGTGACCCCCAAGTTCGAGGGAGCAAAGGCAAGGATCACTTATGGGGTGCCCACTTAAGGGGGTGTCCACTCTTCCCCCTCCTCCAACCCTGCACCCCAGGAGGGAGATTCACAGCAAAACAAACCACACAATCTTGGGCTTCCTGTGCCCAGCCATCACCCGGCCCTGTGGAAAAGGGGGATCCGGGGAGTGGGGTGAGATCTAGGTGGCTTGGTAGAGGTCCTTGCGCCTCCGCACCTCCTTGAGGACACGGGCACGAAAGGCATCAAGGTCCTCCCCGTCGCCCTGCCACAGTCCCAGTGCGTCCTGCAGCTCCGGCCGGTGGGTCCGCAGGAAGGGGTTGTAGGTCTGCTCTTCCCCCAGCGTGGAGGGGCACTGCGGGGGCAGCTGCTCAGCTCCCCTGCTGGAGGCAGCGCCCCCGGCAAGGAGCTGGGAATGCCCCCAGAGCCCCCTGCCCTATGGCACCCACTATGCAAGAGGGTGTTAGGGTGCAGCATCCCTGCCAAGGCAGCCCCTTGAGGGGTCAGGGTGGTGGGTGCTGCACGCAGGGACCCCCATGCCTCACCGTGCTCCTCTTCTCCTGCCGTTGCTGCACTGCCCACTGCAGCTTCTGCTCCAGCGCGGAATTGTCCAGCTCCAGGAGGCTGGCGAAGGTCAGGCACTCCAGTGCATATTCGTGGCCTGTGGACCCCCATATGCAGCCCTTAGCATCACCCCCACCCAGCTTTCCCCCTTGGCAGTGAGGATTAGGGGGACACCAGCAGCGCTGCCCTGCTGTTGGGGACACTCACCTGGCCAAAGCAGCGTGTCCTCGCCCAAGCCCATGGCCAGGTCCAGGGAGGCGAGCATGGTCTCAGGGGA